GCCGGCAGCGAAGCTCACCATGATGCAGTTAGGCTTGCTGATGGACCACAGGTTGACACGGCAGTCATCCCCGCCTGTTGCCAGCAGCCGCCCGGAGCCTTTGCCCAGCACCAGCGAGGACACATTGCTGGCGTGGGCGACGATCTCCTCTACAAAAAGGCAGAGAGGACTGTCAGGGGGCTCTAGAACCTGCAGCCTGGAGCGGGGCAGGAGCTCAGCCTCCTCCTCCCCCAGCCCCTTCGCTGTCTCCCATAGGGTGCCCCACCCCCAGGAGCCTCTGACCCTTGGACAGGGCCTAAGATGGACACGACTGTCTGGACTTAAGCCTCACCATTTAAAAACACTTTTTTAATTAATTAATTTTAAAGATTATTTCATTGGGGGCTCTTAACAACTCTTATAACAGCCCATACATCCATTGTATCAAGCCTATCTGTACATATGTTGCTGTCATTATTTTCTAAACATTTACTTTCTATTTGAGCCCTTGGTATCCAGCTCCTGTTTACCCTCCCTCCCCACCTTCCACCCTCATGACCCCTTGATAAATTATTATTATTTCATAGCTTACACCGACCACTGAAGCCTCACCATGGTTTACTGTCTTTCCCCCACCTCCTACTGCACATCAACCGCCAATACTGACCCCGACTATCACATGGACGTGCTATTTCCATGTAGCTATGAAACCAAGTTGGGGAAGTGACAAGCTCGAAGTGTTCCTTACAGCTTTCTGACGACGCGAAAGGACGACAGGCACACACATGGACACGGTGCTCCCACGACCTCCCTCCCCACCCTCCACTTCGGAGAACACCCTGAGAATCATTCCTGTCAGCTCTACACAAGGCAGCCCGGGTGAGCGGCTGCACAGGGAGAGCTGGGCGCTGGACGCTGCGGGGCGGGGTCTGGTGAGTGGCTCAGCTTCTCGGAGCCCAGCTGTTGGTTAAAAGGGGCGCATCGCTCCAGGCTCTCAGAGCACTCCCAAGAGCATGCCCACGGCTGCCGAGTCCGGAGCGCTCCCAGGCCGGTCAGCAGGCTGTGTGCTAGTCACTGAGGGAGCCAGAGCAAGCACACTGAGAGGTTTGGGGTGCTTGGGGGCGGGGGTCCGTGTGGGCTGCCATGGTGGCCCTGGCCTCGATGGGTCAGACACAGTGAGGACAAGGGGTGTAACTGTATACTGTATACTGTCAACACTCCAAAGGGGACCCACAAGGGCAAGACATGAAGAGAACAGTGCAGGCCACTGAGGCAGTCCCAGGGGAGGGGGCTTCTCCTTGGAGCAAGAAGTCAGGTCTCTCCACCACATGGGAGGGCAGAGGGGAAACCCAACGTGACATGACAGCGGCTGGGACGTCACCGCAGGCCCCTCGCAGTCAGAGATGGGGAACTGGGCCCACCAGCTCCGGGGGCCTCTCACCAGGCCAGGCTCAACCTCATAGAACATGTCCTGCCTCAGGTGACACCTAGCTCCGGCCCCAGCCCCCTTCAGCAAGAGGTCCCAGCAGGCGGAGCATTGGCTGGGGCCTCAGAAACCCCGTCCTTTGGGTCCAAGGAAGCTGTGCCCGCTCCAGACCTCAGCGCTGAGCTTTCGCGCCTGGCAGTGAGGCCGCCGCAGGTGCCTGGGGGGCTCGGATCACACACAGGGCTGTGCAGGAGCTTCTGCTAGGCCAACATGGCCGCCCAACCCAGAGAGGGCAGCCACCTGCTTCCTACGCGCCCTGTCCCCAAACCTCTCTTCTTCTCCAAGACACACCTGAGGCGCCACTATCACCCAGCCTAGGAAGTCCCCACAGGCCCTGCCTCACTGGATCATTGCCCCACTACCACCGGTCACTTAAAGTACATTTCCTGGGGTCCTTCTCTGGCCTGGCACTGGGGAGGGTCAGTGATTGATGTCTGCCCACAGAGGGACTAGGGGTGTGCCAGAGCACTGGCTCGAGAGTGCCCCCTCTGGCCCAGTCTGAAGAGCAAACACTTTCAAAGCAGTGTCCAGGCACTGAGCCTAACTGCCCCCACCCCACCCCAGCAAAGAATCAGAGGTCTCCACCCACAGAGAGTGCACGGTGAACGAAACCAGCAGCAGGCCCCTGATTCACCTGACCACTGCCTCCCTGCTAAACCCCTCCGCAGCGTGGCCCTGGGTGAGGTGATGGCTTATGCTGCTAGGGTGCAGCCCGATGCCCCCGCTGTGCTTCCTGCCTCAGGGCCTTTGCACATGCTGTTCAGGAAGTCAACATACTCCCCCACCCTGCACCACCTCGCTCACTGACTCAGCTCTGAATTAGGGAGAGATCTCACTGGGTGGTTGGTGTGGCTATCAAGTGCTGCCTGCCCATCTTGCCACACCTGGTGTCTCAGTGCTCCCCAACTCCTGGCTGTACTCAGGACAGCTGCTGAACCTCAGTAGGTGAAATGCCACTCCATCCTGGGGGCCCTCATACAAGAGGGCCCCCCCAGAGTCCGGGGCTCTAGGGACCCTTTTGGAAATGAGGAAACAGAGGCAGAGCAAATGGCTTAGCCCCGGGCCTCATGTTTCAAGGTGGGCGACCCTAGGCTTTCAGGCCACTCCAAGGCCCAGTAGGACTCCAACTGCCTGGCCAGTGCCAGCTCACTGTGGCCCTGGTGCTAGCTGGAGCCGGAGATGCAGGCAGACCAAATATATGCCAACCGAGCCCCACAGACAGGGCCAGACGAGCCTTCAGTGCACAGGGAAGCAGTTCTCCAGGTGTGATTTAGGGAGCTCTGGGGCCCTCCAGGGGATGAAAGGTGTCTACGTAAAAAACCCAAAGGGTATCGGGGACATTTCTGAAGGCACAGGGGTGTGAGGGCACCTTGCTCATCACGTCTGACTGTACAGAAACTGTTTTAGAAAGGTCTCAGGAATAAGTCTGATAACAGAACCCACACTAGTGGGCTTCTAAGTGTGGGGAAATGGAAGGACAAGACATCGGCCTTTTCCACGCACTTTTTAAAGCCCTTGCAGCTGGGGTGAGTCACAAGCCATGAGAGCCATGCTCTTTGGGGGAGGGCATCCTAATCGTCTTTAAAGGGGTATGAAAGGGTTTTAGGATCCCAACTTAGAGAGCCACTAGACAGAGGAAAGGAGGCCGGGCGGCTCAGGGACAGCACTAGCCCAAAGGCTAGCGGTTCAAACCTGCCCAGCAGCTCCTCTGGGCGCCCTGCACGTGATCCGCTCTCATGAAGATTCCAAAACCTCCCCTAAAAACAAACCCACTGCCAGCGAGTGGATTTCGACCCATGGCAACGCTATCTTAAGGTTTCCAAGTTTGTAAAGCTTTATGAGAGCAGAGAGCCTCGTCTTTGTCCCTCAGTGCAGTTAGTGGGTTTGAATCACCGACCTTGTGGGTAGCAGCCCAGTGCCTAACCCACAGCACTACCAGGGCAGCCTGGAGGTGCCTATAGGCTCCTCTGTTGTCACACCGTTTTGCTAGGGATAGAAAACCAACCGAACAGTACCTGAGAACATCAGTGCAAAGGACCAGGGGGAGTGGGTGGTGCTTGGGCCATCATTCTCCTACCCCCCTCCCCCTCCCCCATCCACTCTGCTCAGCCTAGCACCCCAACACACCTCCATCTGATGGCGGAAGCTTGACTTGTGGGTGGTCTGGGAACACATCGATCGGACACTCTCACCCCATCGGGTCAATCTAACTGGAAATCTTTTGCTTCCTGACAAAGACCAGTACCCTGATGATGGGCCACGTGAGTACAAGTCCCTGTGCTCAGAGCCTAAGATCCATTATCCCACGTGACCATCCAGCATCTCCAAGATCAAATACAGCACTCTCACCTTATCCAGCAACTCTACGATCAATGCGGCTCTCTCACTTTACAGAAGAGAGGCTGAACCTCAGAAAAGTTAGGTCATAGGCCCAATGCCCCTCAACTATGAACTGCCAGTCATGATTTCTATCTTGATCCATCATACTAGTGGCCTGGCAAGAACAGCTCAGGGGGGTCAAATGCCCTCAGCTATGAACTGCCAGTCATGATTTCTATCTTGATCCATCTTACTAGTGGCCTGGCAAGAACAGCTCAGGGGGTCAAGCGTGGGGAGGAGGAGGTGGGGGGGAGTGAAAGATCCACTTACGCAGCTTCCAGGCCGTCTTGGTGACCACAGGGGTGGCCATTCTTTAGCTGGTGGGCACCGGCAGGCCCACCCAGCAAACAGTCGGTGCTTTCCACGTGGGGCGGGGGTGGATCCCCCCCAGATCCACCAATCAAGTTGGCAGGGAGTTCCCACACATCCAGGCAGAGGGAATGCCTTATCTCCTGGCCGCCCCCCCTACTCCTCTGTGCTTTTAAACCATCAACGGCAGCAGCCTGTGCTTGGCTGCAGCTGGGGCCGAGGACCATGGAAGGTCAAGCTTGAGTCATCTCAACACTGGGCTGGAACACAAACAGAGGCAGGGGCCTGTTAGGAGACAGGGTGGGAGAGGAGGTCCTCAGGGGGACTCTGGGGTTGTAGCCCTGTAGCTGCCTGATCAACAAGGCTACCTGAAAATAGGTGCTTAAGTCTGGCAGGGGCTGAACTGCAAAGTAGCAGGTTTGCAAATCTGCAGATTCGGGCAGGGTGACTTGGAACACTGAGAGAAGGTCCTCCCAGGAAAAGGGATGATGGATGCTGGAGGCTGGCTACCTAAAGCGCAGGTGCAGCCGTGGGGCAAGAAGAACCACAGGAGCACCTGTCAGAAGAACTTCTAGAAGCCCCAGTCCTGCCAGACTTATAGGAAGCAGGGCGGAGCCAGAGAGTAGCTTTGCAGGGGCCAGGAGCAGTACCCCAGAACGGGCCATTGAGGTCATTCTCTGGGGTAGACCTCCGAGAGGACCCTAAGAGTCCAAGCTCCCTGAAAGCAGTTTACAAACCCACTCCTGACCCCCTGCAATTCCCCACTGTAGCGGGGTGGAGGGCAAGCCTCCAGATGTCCGCATGGCTACTCAGTAAGGCCACCTGGAACAGGAAGGAAAGGGCCCTAGCCCCTCCCTTAAGCCCACCGCGCCTCTTCCCCATGAGCCCTCCCCTCACTCCATGCCCCTTCTGCGGCCCCTCCGGGCCTCCCTCGTTCTCTCTCCCTTCTTCAGGCCCCCTGTGGGTCCATCCATGCACATCCCATCCCCTGGGCCCTCTAACTGGGGCCCTGTCTCTTCGCGCCCCTTTAGCTCCCTAGCCCTTCTGCTATCGGGGCTCCCCATTCATTCCGTCTTCTCCGGGTCCTCCGAACCCATCCTCTTGCGGACCCCCAGACCTGCTTCCGGCCCCTCCAGGGGCCCTCTCCGGGCCCCGCACCGGTCCTGCTGGACTGGAGGCTGGGACTGGTCCCTCCGCCTCGGCCAATCGTCCCACCCCTCTCAGCTTTGGGGGCTCGGATTCTGCCTTCCCCGGCCCGGAGCCCTCCTTGCCGCAGCCCAGCCCGGTCCCGCCTAGCTTGGCCTAACCGGGAGGCCCTCACGCCCCAGCCTTCTGGCCCCCTCTCCCACTTCACCTGCAGCTGCGGCTCAGGAGGTCGAGGCCCGGCTTTCGGCGCGACCCCCACTTGCCTCAATCCCCGTCCCTGATTGGCCGCTGCTTGACAACCGACCCTCACAACAAAACCTCCGGTCCAGAGCCCCGCCCACTCCACCCTCTACACCAATCAGTCGCCGAAGCCGCACCGCCCCCCGCCAGGTTTAACCAATCGCAGCAGGCGCTTCTGCCGCTTTCCCCTACGTCCCCGCCCTCTCTTCCTGAATCGGACTAATCACACGGAAGGAGTGTCCAAGAGCCGCCCACCAGGCCTTAATGAGCCAATGCGGACTCCCATTTCTCTGGTCCCGCCTCCGCCTCAAGGATTTTTCCTTCCCACCGCCTTAGCTTCGCTTTCTCGTAGTCCGTTGGCGTTTGAAAACTCTGCGCCACGCCCTCCAGTGGCAGCTACGCCAATTGCTGCAGCAACCGTCCTGATAGAACCAATCAACGTTCGTATTCTTGGGAAAACCAGTTCCCGGAGAGCCAATGAAAAGGGGGAACCGGGAGCAGCGTGAAGCCGCGGGCCTCCCATCTTGAAGTGGGGCAACTTTGGGAGGCGTCTTGAGTCAGCATTTTGCCTCAGTTTCAGCTTCTCGTTGCCCTCTGGCAGCAGTGCCGGAGTGGGGGGGCTCCGGAGCCCCCCAGTGCAGCGCCCCTGCGAGGGCCTCGGTGCATGGATGGCGGGCAGGTGCTGCTACCCGCCCAAGGCCGACAGCGCCCATAAGGAAGGGTGTTTAAGCTTATGCACAGAGACACGGGGGTGGGGGTGGGGGCGGGGGCAGATTCTGTCTGCCCTAGAAGCTTTTCATGTTCCTTGTGTAGGGTGAGGATTACATCATAATCATGCCATACATACAGTTCCACATGATTGCAGGTGAAGCAGCAGCCAGCGAGACAAAGATGGCAACCCTTTTAACTCTAGCTCTCTTTCCAGGGGTGCGTTTGTCGGTGTGTTAATGCCTCTAGGCCGGTGACCTGTGATTTTCTTTCTCGTTGGCATCTGGAGATGTGAAAAGACATTTTGGGTCGCTTCAACTCCTGGGGAAGAACTTTATAAAACAGTGTGCTTTCATATGATGAGTGCTTTGCCACACACACACACACACACACACACACACCACACCACACCCCACGACTCCCACTCCACCCCCCTGAAGCCATCCATGTTTTGTTCATTGAACGGCATTGTTCCTTCACTAATTTGTATTGCAGGAAACTTGGCTGCCTTGAATCAGGAAGAGTGTGGACAAGGGGTTGGCTCAACCTGGAGAATTGCCTGCAACTTCTGGAGCTGAAAACACAAAGGAAAACAAACACACTGCCATCGGGTCAATGCCGACTCATAGCAACTCTATAGGACAGGGTAGAAGTGCCCCTGTGAGTTTCTGAGACTGCAGCTGTTTACAAGCTAGAAAACCCCATCTTTCTCCCATGGAGCAGGGCGGTGGTTTCAGACTTTGTTCCTTGCACACTGCAGCCCAGCGGGTTGCCACTATGCCACCAGACCACCTAATGACACGAACACATATGAAAAAGAAACAATAAGAGATTCTTCAGGCTCCCAGGAGAACTTGTTCTCTTGGAAGGAATGAACAGGAGCATTCTGCTATAACTGGGAAAACCTGTGGGAGTAAAGAACACAGCAGACAAGCATTTCAAAGAGGAACGAACACCCTCCTTCCCTAATTACATAATTGATAGCTATTAGCTCAAGGTTCCTTGTCGGCCAAGAGGAGCTCTGATGGATCCAGCTTTCCTTGATCTCTAGTTGGTCTGCACCTGCAACAGGCCAGTCAGCAAAATCGTTCTCTGTGCCGACCTTGCTTCTTGGGGAAGAAGTCCTGCTATTTGCCTTTGGGGAGTTTGGTTCATTTTCTCAGCCTTCTCACTTGACAGTGATGGCCAGATCGAATGTCATTTCCAGGTGACGTCCAGTGCTTGAGCAACATCCCCAGTGACTTGTGCTAAGAAATGTGGCCCAGTACCGATGGGTAGGCCGAAATATGGGGTGAGGTATTTTGAACTAGCACTTTTACAACTTCTCTTGTTTTGCTGGTCCAACAAGGATATATCTCCATCCATCCAGTGCAGCAACTATGTTATAACTCTTGCCATACACAGCATCTCAGCAAAATCTAGGTCCCCAGGTGTGAGCACACCAGATGACACCCCACTTCAGTTACGCAGGCACCCCCTCAGGGTCCTTTTGCCCACTTGAATGATACCCTTCTTCCAAGCCTTCTGAACATACATTTCCTTCGGGACAGTCCGTTGCCCTTGTCAGCACAGCCTGCCTCCCTAATATCAGCTAGTTCATTTATAGTTCATAATGGCTTCTGTCAGCTCAAAATGGCTTCACTCTTGTTAAGGCTGTTTAAGCTTTTCCTAGAGCTACTACAAGACATTATGTTAGACGGAAGGGATTACAAGAATGGTCCAAGACCTTCCAATCAAGGGGCTAGACTGATAGACTCCTGACTATGTGACTGCTGCGCTGTCTCCCCAGTACTGTGGCCTCCATTGCAGGACACACCCAGGCAAGCCTCTATGAGAGGCTGCCCCTCCCCGAGCTGGCTGGAGAGGGGTGGAGGCAATCTACTTCCCCAGATGATCTACATCTGTAGTAAAAGATCAGAAAGAATTCAGTGGAGGCTTAATCCCCAGCCTCTCAATTGCCTTTTGCAAGGCTATGGGTGCTCAGAATTAAAGCTATAATACAGAGGAAACTCTTGTCCAGCCAGGTGCTTGCTAGAAGCAACAGTGTGGTTCATCCTGATCTGTAAGCCCCTGAATACAAGGATGTCTCCCAGATTGGCCTTAGGTCAGTTTTTCAACCTGCCACACCTAAGTATTAGGAGTCTCTCTCCTCCTTGGGGTTGAGTAGAGGCCACACCTAGGTATGGCCCTTGAACTTGAACTCCAGGTGGGGGGGCCCGGGGCTTTTTGTTTCATGATCATAAAAGCTACATGTGTAACAATGTGTATCTGCTGTCCCAAACTCAGGGTTTTTTGGGCTTTCTTTAGAATAAGGCTGGCTGTGAGTCTCCACAACCATAAAACTAGGCAATGTACATCAGCTCTGCCCAGTCAGCCAGGTCTGCCAACAGTGGCTAAAGCCAGAGACTAGAAACTTGTCATGCTATGAGGTGTCTTCACATGCCCATTAACCTCTGGCCCCCCAGAGCCTTTTGAGGTGCAAAACAATAGGAAGTGGCCCTTGGTGTGTAGAGGGGAGCCAGGTAACCTACAGGTAACATTTCCTCATAAGAGAATTCCCACTTATATATGTCAACAATTGTAAGAAAACAGCCGACTATAACATCTTTGTAATCCTTGCCATCTGAGAAGCACTGGGATACAGTTCTGGTTGCTGTGAGTGTTTTCTGGGGACCAGTCTTCTAAAAAAACATTCCGTTAGGTCTTTCTACTCACCTTGCCGTGATTGTTGATCAACGCCAGTATCTTCAAGGCAAGACTCCACATTTTGGATGAACCAGCTGCTCCACAGCTCGGAGACAAGCAGACCAGCGATGGAATCCAAGGCTTTTGAAAACACACAACCGCCCTCTTCCAACTTCCCAGAAACTGGCTTCAGTCTCTTGCTGCTATTGACTGATTTTTGTGGTGCTAGAGGTCAAAGGATTCATCTCAAGTTGGTGCAGAAAGCAGCATGGAGGTCAAATCTGACCTCCTCTGCTTCCTTATTGCCACAAAGCAGAGGGGTCCGACATGTCTCCCCCGTCCCTGTTCCCCACCCCCACCTCCCTTTACCTATTCAGCCACCAGCCTTTCCTCCCAGGCCACTCTACGTCTCTGCTGGGCTCAGTTATTCATTGCAATGGCCACAAAGAAGTCACAGAAAAACCCCACAATTATAGAAGCGCATTAAGGTCCCAAAGGAAGAAGTCCAAGCTGCACGCACAGCATTAGCGAAAAATAAGTTGACATTCCACCACTTCAGGAGGGAGTTGCAGGTTCGGATAAAAGAAGACCATTACAATGTCCAATTAGAAGTATGTAAAGTCTTTATTTAATCAGGCCAGCCCGGACTGCAGTGGGGGACGCTCAAAAGGAACTGTTAGGTCTCTCTGGGGATAGATATACCTCGGTCCTTGGCTCTGCGTGAGAAAGAATTCACTCCGAAGCCTGGTTTGTGATCCAAGTGAGTTTTGTGAGCGTTAGAAGAAGTTTCAGGTTTCCACGGGCACCCACAGGGCTCCTCCCGAACATACAGTTTGCCTGGAAACTGCTGGCAGAGTCACGCAAAGTCTCCAGGTCGAAGCTGGGCTCCTGCCTTTTCAAGGATTCCGCGGGGAGGCGTGGACGACGACCCCTAGTCGACCCCATTGGCTGAATTGAATTCACCTGGCCTAGGTGGGC